AAGAAAATATTTAATCCCTAAGTTGCAATATTGAACGATTATTTGGGCAAAATATTGAACAATACAGGAAGCATCAAAAGATGGAAGGAATACACAAAGTCACTGTACCAAAAATAACTGGTCAACATTTAACTGTTTCAAGAGGTAGCATATGAACGAAGTCCAAGCTGTACCAAAGGCATTAGCCCAAAGCAAGGCTCTGGGAAATTACCAAATTCTTATTGAAATATTTGAACAATCTGTTAAAGCACTGGAAGCATTCATTTGTCTGTGTCAGAAAGGTGGATGATAGCTATTTGGCCAACTGACTGGGAAAGTCCTTGTTTGTACCCATTTCATAGAAAGATGACCCACCCTAATGAAGAAACTATAAAACAGTATCATTAGTATTACAATCAACTAAGATTTTGCTGAAGATAATTCCAAAACAGCAGTAAGTACATTGATTGGAAACTGCTAAAACTTCCAAGAGGACATGGCACAAGGGAGGACCTCCGAGAGATGAAGTGACACATTGGCTGCAGTAATGATTTCAAGCATAACTAGTGTGAGGATGGTGCAGAACCAGGCAGTGTTTCGTTCTGTTATACATAGTGTCTCTGAGTTGGAGCTGACTAGATGACACTTAACATCCAACCAGTAAGGTTGGTTTTTTGTTTTTGTTTTATGCTCTTGAGTTTTGTACCACATTTTTAAAATTTTTCAGAGCACTCCAGTGGTAGCTGTGTACTGTCAAGTTATTCTGGTCTTTCTTAAGGTTGTGGCTCTTGCAGTCCAGATAGATGTCTTTGGTTTTCTGTATCTCCTGGGTGAGGTGACCCTACCTTAGATTGCTGCTCACAACTCCTAAGACCTTCTAAGACCCCAGTTGGTACACACCACAGTAGGATGTAGAACATTTTCCTAGAAGACTATGTTTTGCCAATTGACCTTGATGTTTTCTGACACTGATCCTTAGCCCCCAGGCCCAGGTGACTCATTTCATCATGGTGTTTTACTATGTTTGACTACAAGGTTCATAAATTGGCCTCCTATACTTGCACCATATAAGTATACACATGAGAAAATATTTTCTATCAAACCTATATATATTTCTTGTTATAAATCCTGTTCTCCTTCCATATCTGTTCATCTTGTATGTCTGTGTGTATATTTACTCATGGATTATAGCTATTGCTGTTATTACAGGATCATGCATGAAATGATTTGCATCTGTTGCTTTGAAATCTCATAGTACTCGTTGCCATGATTGTTTTTGCTGACCTCCCCCTAGACTTTGCCCTTCACCCAAGGAAATGTGTGTCATCTACCCTCTAGTTATTTACTCTTCCTTACTTTCCCACAACTAGTAACCATCAAAAAAGACTTATTTTTGTGTGAAAAACCTTTCCTTGACTTCCAATAATTGTGGTTTCATTCAGTAGTTTTTCTTTGGTGACTAATTGATTTCACCCAGCATCATGCCCTCTAGTTTCAGGCCTTCTCACAGTCATTATTGTTCTTTGACATTGTGTAGTGTTCTATTGAGTGCATGTATTTACCATAGTTTATTCATCTGTTGAAAGGTGCTTAGGTTGTTTTGCTATTGTGAATAGTGCTGCAGTGAACTTGGCTGTGCACGTACATGTTTGTGTCATGGATTTATATCTAAATTGTAGGATTGCCAGATTTCACAGTACGTCTGTGAGTTAGTTAATTGTGCCAGCCTGGCCGATCATCACATGTGGTGCTGGTTGAAAGGCGGAGGGATAAATGGGTGGTGAAGCCTCGCCTTTTTAGTTCTCGGGTCTCTTGTTTTGTGATGGTTGCACCGGGTGTAGCTGCCTTAGCAGTTCCCTGCTTCAGCTTGCAAGATTGACTTCCTACAAGACATCCCCAAGGAGAAGCTACATGGACCTATCCTTATGCAGCCCTGGGTGCTGGAGCAGTCGTGTGGAGACCCCAGCTAGTGCTGAGATGCTTGTTCGTTCACTGACTCAGCTTTCCTCCTGCAGTCGGCATCATTGCCTCTGTTTTGTGAGGTGGAGGACTTTGTGGACTGGTGTTGGGTTAATGGGTTAATGTTGGACTTGTGGGCTTGGGCAGCGTTGGGTTGGGATGTTTTCATGATGCACATTTTCTTTGCATAAAACTCTCTCTTATACACGAGTCCTGTGGATTTGTTTCTCCAAAGTACCCAGACTAATACAGTCTGTTTTTAACTTTGTAATAAGACACCATCCCTTTTCCTTCAGCAGTGTGCCAGCACTGTCTGAGGCTTCCATTGTTTCCATACCCTCATCAGCATTTGCTGTTTTCATTTGTAACTTTGCTGTTATGACTGGGTAAGGTGATATTAATTGTTGCTTTGGGTTTCATCTGTAATAGCTAACGATTGGAAACATTTCTTCATGTGCTTGTTGGCCACTTGAATGCTATTTTTGGTGAACCATTTGTTCTTGTTCCCCATTTCTTAATTGAATTGTTGAAGTATTCTATAAATTTTAAGTAATATTACTGCTCAGGTATGTCACTGTCAAAAATATGTTTCTTATTCTGTGGGTTCTATTTTTTACTCTTTTGGTGAAATCTTTTGATGTTCATAAATGTCATAATCATTAGGATGTCCTAGTCATCTAGTTTGCCTTCTTTTATTTGTGTGTTTTTATATATGTTTGATAGTGTGTGTGTGCGTGCGCGTGTGTGCGTGCGTGCGTGCCATGCAGTAGGACCCCTAAGTTTGTCCCTATTTCTTGCATTGATGGTCTTTATAGTTGGAGGTTTTACATTTAGGTCTTTGATCCATCTCTAGTTAGCTCTTTTATATGTATATAATATTTGAGAAAAATTAATACTAGTCCCCCAAAAGTGGAGATTAAATGTGTCCCAAATGTCCAGCTTATTTAGAATGTTGAACCATTCCGTTATCTTTTTTATCAACTACCACTCCCCTTTGTTTACTCCCTTGAATCCCAGGTACTATATAACTCACTGCAGTGTCACACAGAACTCTCATCATCGAGGGAAATGCTCACATGCTTGTGGTTATTGGTTAATCCCAAATCTGAAGTTACAAGGTTGTGGAATCCAGTGAAATCAAGTTAGGTGGTAGGCTGTAACTCAAATCTCAAGAACCCAGAAATAGGCAAACCAATTGCAGGGTCTAAACATTGATTTCCACTCATGGCTCTTGTTTGCTGGTAATGAAGTCCCCTCCCTCCTTTAGCGCTTCTGAGTTAGCTGATTTTACACCCAACAAGATGGCAATTACAAATAACCCT